AAATTATAATAACAAATAATAATAATAATTATAAATATTAAAAATTAGAATAATAAATAATAATAATAATGATAATTATTATAAATTATAAATTATATAAAAATAATAATTAATAATAATAATGATAATAATTTAAAAAAAAAAAAAAAAATATTCCGTCCGGCCGGCCGGACCGGACGGACCGGTTCCGACCGGCCGCCGGTTCCGGTCAGGCACGGTCCGTCCGGCCGTGCTTTCCGGACGGTATTTGCTCCGTCCGGCCACCGGTTCCGGACGGGCTTTAAGCCGTCCGGCCGCCGGTTCCGGACGGGCTTTAAACTGTCCGGAACCGACGTCCGGACACGAATTTTTTCGTACCTCGAAATTTGACGACATTTCACCGTACACTTCTCTGAGATGTTTACGAAAAATGAGAGGGGCAAAATTGTCCAAGGGGGGCGGTGACTAGTAATTTGGGGGGCGGTGAATAGTAATGCCCTTTGCAATATCCTCAAATTTTGGTCTGTCCAGTAACAATGTATATCTTTCTTCATTTTCTGTCGCCTATTATTGAAATCAACACTCCTGTGCATGATTTCATTACAGGGGTACAGATATGCAAGTTATTTCAAGAATTTGACCGGGTTAATTTTGAGAAAATGGTTCTGTAGTTTCGTTCGATTGCGTAAAAACATGGTTTCAAATTGCGTATAGCCCACTGATATATGTTTCTGTTTTAGAACCATGTTCGTAATGACTATTAATATTTCAATAGTTACATAGTTATTGTGTTAAGCTACAAGTATTTGTTTGCCGAAGGAAAAAGCCCCATGCCATTGTCGAACGTCGCCCGTGCACTTCGCCCAGACCGCAAACTGTCGGCTTGTGATGCTCGCAACACTGCCCAGGCCACCGGCAACGGGCAAGTGCCGAGACTCGCCCATAAGAATTTCACTAGAAATCACAAACTTTAAAAAGTTTTGAATTTAAAAAATAATAATAAAATGTAGCTCAAAATATCAAATGAATACACTCCTAAATATTGATATCCCCCTCAATATATTCGTGCAAAATGATCTGATCCTAAATATGGATTACTTATTCTTCATAATCATATGTGTCGAATTCTTGTGATTCGTAATATTGTGTTAATATTTGTATATAATATATCGCAATAATTATCTTTTGACGAGATTTGATTTTATATTCATAGGATATGGTTCAAATAAGAATCAAGTCTTAACGTGAGAATCGTGAGAACCACTATTTTTAATTGTATGTAGTGCTATGATTGATTGTATTTTAGTGCTATTTTTAATCAGAATTTATTTTATCAAAAATAGCAACACAATTTATATTATGATTTGTGAAAATGATAGCACCATGTAAGATTGAAAATAGAATTATACACAATTAAAAGTAGCATCAAATATAGTTGTCACGGTTCTCACATCAAGATTAGTTTTTATTTGAACCAAACCCTATATTCATATTACATATATAAAACGAAACAATAAATTTCTTTTTTTATAATAAAATTAAATCATCTACTAACACTAACTAATAATTAATAAAATTATATATCAATTCAAAAAGTCACCCATGTTATACTTGACTACGTTTGGTAAACCTAGCTAATAAGTCAGCTAATAACTTATACGTGAATTGTGACCTTATACCAGGTAACTTTTTATTTATGGCTAAAAAATTAACTTATATGATAAAAAAGCTTGATAAAATTAGTTGATAAGATAGTTGAAATAAATCTTTCAACGAGTTTATTTGAAAAACTAGTCAAAAAAATTATGAGATAAGCTCGAGCTTTCGTCCTACGAAAGTCGAAACAATTTTTATTTAGTAAATATTGAACATTATATGCACTCAGCAGTCGGCATTTTAGAGCATCTCCAATAGTCATTCTATTTCTCTATTTTGTTTCCACATGGCACAAATAATCTTATGTGGCTTGAAAAAATTCTAGAAGGCTTTCTAGATATAGAAGCCTTTCTAGACAACTTCCATTGTATATTAGCAGATTTATTTAATTTATTTACCTTTTTTAACCAATTAAATTTTTACACATCACAAATGATACCACAATTAACATTAATCATGGGAGACATAATTTTTTAGTTTTCATTCTCCATGCCATACAATACAAAATGGATCATTTTCTATTGGAGATGCTCTTATCAGGCATGATTAGCTTTGGAGGACGCGTGTTTTAAATTCATCGTTCACCAAAGTAAAAGATTAAAACCAAATATAGTAAAAGATTAAAACCAAATATCGCAAGAGTTACATTCCGATTAAAAGGAAATATAGTAAAAGATTAAAACCAAATATCGCAAGAGTCGCGTTTCTACTCTTCTGCGCCTATTTGTTTCTGAACATCGCTTTCCGTCTAAACGCCAACTTATTAATTTCAAACATTAGATTTAAACCTAGCTAAGACCTTGGCCTTTGTTGGGAATCAAGAGTTGGGAATTTGGTCTTCAAGAGTTGGGAATTTGTGAGAGGTTGGGAATCAAGAGTTGGGAATTTGGTCTTCAAGAGTTGGGAATTTGTGAGAGAGAGGAAAAAGCCGGGACGATCGTAATTTAAACATTAAATTATATTAGATTTATACTTAATTAAATTATTATTGAATTGTGTCAAATTACTATTCTTATCTTATATGTCGTCTAAATAGGATTTTTTATATAATATTTAGACCTAATTCACGAAATACCAAAATAAAAAATTTAGCTTTATATATAATTTTATTTATATAATTAATGTAAACTATAACTTTTTTATATAGTTTAAATTAAAAAAATACTATTATAGCCACTTGCATATTATATCTTTTCAATCCAATATTTAAATCTTTTTAGAATATCTATAAAAATACATTGAAATAGTTATAGAATATTACATGATCTTTCTAATATATTGTAAAGAGTTGAAATAAAAATAAAATAAATTTTGATGAACACATAAATTATTTAAATCTTTTTAGAATATCTATAAAAATACATTGAAATATTATAAGATGCAATATTCAATAAAAGTTTATAATACGCAAGAAAATTGTACAATGTTCAATAAAAATTTTATACTATTCAAGTGGAGTTTTAAAGTCTCTAGTACATTAAGACTACTGACAAAATAATATTTTAATCAATGAGTTTCCTTTCCTTGTCAAATTGTGATTGTGATTTGAGGAATACAACAAATTGATATATAGCTGACTTGCTTTTTTCATTGTAGTTTTTTTTCTTTTTTCTTTTATAATGAATTTAAAGATATTCTAAAATATAGCAAAAATTAATATTTTTTATTATAATTAGGAATTTTACTAAATATAGACTCTCAATCTATGGTGTTAATCAACGTTTAAGTCTAAAAAATTAAGAATTTTTACCTCTTTTAATCAACGTTTAAGTCTAAAAAACAATAGAGTTATTATAAGTTTTTTTCTACATCTTTTAAAACATTAAATATGAGCATGTTAGGGCTAGCTTATAAAATAATTAATATATTATCTCACTAAAACATTTATACTAATAAAAATTTAATTTTAGCATATAAATTTATCCCTTAATATAAGAGAAAGTAACAGTTTTACTTATTGTTGTTCACCATATAATATTTAATTATTATTTTATTATGTAATAAAAAAGGAATATTGTTAAATAGTATAGTAGAATTGTTATAAAATTATATAATTTTTCATTTTTTTTTTACAATGTGGATTTAATATTTTTTTATGATTTGATAATATAAACAAATCTATACTTAACTTTGACAAATAAAACAAATAAATACTTTAGTAAGTATTTAATGTATATACTAAATAGGAATATATTTGGTATAATCAAATACCAAATATAATCAAATAAGTTAAAGTGTACATTTTTATTTGGTATTTGATTTTTGTATTATTAAAATCTTTTTATTATACTTACCTTTTTAAAATAAAATAAATAAATAAATCAATTAATTAAATAAAATATTATAATACCAAAATAATAATGACATTTAATGCAGTTGACTTTTCTGGATAGTAAATGTAGTAAATAGAATCTTCTTTTATATAAGTATAGATATGATATTATATTA